AAAAAAAAAAAAAAAAAAAAAAAAAAAAAAAAAAAAAAAAAAAAGAAAGAAAGAAAGAAAGAAAGAAAGAGAAAAAGAAAAACAAAAAGAAAAAGCATAACATTCTTCAGGAAGCATGCCCATGTGGAACAAATTGATCTCATTTGTTAATATGGAAGGTATTTAGATGTTGTGTGTTAGGTATAGTCTGTAGAAGGAGCAGCGGGCTGCGTTCCCGGTACCCGGCTGCCCACATGGCTAGCCTTATACCCGAAATAACAACACACAAATTGTATTCTTTTAAACACTGCTTGGCCCATTAGTTACAGCCTCTTATTGGCTAACTCTCACATCTTGATTAACCCATTTCTATTAATGTGTGTAGCACCATGAGGTGGTGGCTTACCGGGAAGATTCTTAACCTGTGTCCATCTTGGAGAGGAAAGCTATATCGTCTGCTTGACTCAGCTTTCTTTCTCCCAGAATTCTGTTCTGTCTTCCCCGCCTACCTATGTTCTGACCTATCAGGCCAAGCAGTTTTCTTTATTAATTAACCAATGAAACAACAGATAGACAGATGGCCCTCCTCCATCATTTAGAGGCCCTACAATGCTCATAAAATATGTCCATCTTAGTAATTATGAATGCTGAATATTGCCATGGATTCTCTGGCATTATCAGTGTGGTGGGAAATTCTTCCAATTGGACTTTTAACCAGCAAGAAGAAATAATCATACCTCGAAATTTAAAATAAACAGTGCTGGGAAAGCACCCTGCCCCCAATCAGGTCCAAAGGGAACTCCATTTCCAAAAATTCTGGCAGTTAGACAAAAGCCTCAGGAACTTGTGAAGCTGGTTTCTCTCTACCAAAGGAGTTATTTTCTTTATCACTGGCAGAAGAGACAAATGGCTGTGTGGTGCCCATTTGCACAGGGAGCTGACATCCAAGCTCCCCGAGTGTCACAAGTACCCAGCTCTTCCCACCTCCTTCCCCCTAAACTTCTCCAGCTCTGGGCTTCTCTCCCTCTGCTTCCCTCCTTTACAGCCCTCCTGTTTTGGCTGTGCTTGCTCTTTTGTCAGCTCCCTTCGTCTCCATCTCTAAACCCACTCCCCTCCCCACTCTTCACTCCGCTTCTGCCTCTTCTTCCCTGGCCAGGTCCAGTCTGCTTGCCACGCTCAGGTTCAGTCTACTGCTTTCTCTCTCTGCTCTGGACTCTTCCAGATGCCGCTGACTGCTTTCTCCTTGGTGTCTACAATAAAAACCTTCCTCTTAAGCATACCATGGAGCGGTCATGTAGTCAGCTTATATCCCTTCTTCTCCCCGCAAAAGCCATAAGAATCCAGGGCTATTTGGAATTTAACATGGATTGAAAGGGAACATGAATACTGGTCCTGCAACTGTTGGAATGGGTGTTGCAGGCAATCAGTGTAACGGGCAGGATGGCTCTCCAGAAGCATGCATCTAGCCATGGGCTCTCCCACGTTCCTGCAACTATCTGTTGATGCGTTTGTTGCAGGAATATGGATCCTCTCAACACTGGTCCATCAGAACAGGGTCTGTGGATTATTAATTCTTGGTGTCTGTCTCTGGAGAACAAAAGAAGAAAACAAATGAGTCAGAAAATAATCCAACCTCTGAGGTCAGGTTCTCTCTGTGAAACTTCATTGTCTGATGGAAGGGTGGGAAGAAGAGACTTGGAGATGGGGTGGGATGGCCTCAGCGGGGTTCCTGCCTTACGTTCTGCTCTCAGAATCTCTTACTTCTGAATGGAATCCTATCACAACACCAGCATTCATTATTGATTTATTGATTTACCCATTTATTTACTCACTATTTTCTCCAGGTTGAACCCATTGAAAGGCAGCAGTGTTGGGAGGCGCGAGGTTTTCTTGATTTGCCTGGCCTATCTAAGTCTTCTGTGCTCATCTGTAGATTGTTCTCAGTGTCTGTTCTGCCTCAGACAAATTAAACATTTCCAGCAAGCCTTCCCCTCCATTAGTCATGTGCAAATGGCCTGCTTTTCCTCTTGCCACAGGGAGAGGAGAGATTGAAAGGAGAGGTCCCTTTCCAGAAAGTTCCCTGCTAGGGTGTGGTTAAGCAGTATCAGCTTTACCCTCCAGCATCCTCCACTCCCCAAGAGCTAGGAAGGGGTCAGGCTGCAGGCTTCTCTCAGCGTTCACACAGGGCAACAAGGAAAAGAGAAGCCGTTTGGAGGTTCCAGCAATGGCAAAGCACATAGCATAGAGATACCGTGTCTGAAAAAGCGGGAGCCAGAGAGACTTGGAGCCCTCTATGCATTCTCCATTGTTAGGAAGGCGAGTGGTACTTGGTGTAACTTGTCATGTACATATTTTTATTTATTAACAAATGTTTCTATGTTAGCTAGCTTTTTGTCCTTTGATGAAATATTTACTTATTTTGATTCATAGTTTTCTAAGTCTCGGTTCATGACTCCATTGTATTTAGGTCGTCCTGGAAGAAGTGTATGATATAGGAAAGCTGTTTGACTTCCTGGCACTCAGAGAGCTAAAGAGAACAAGAGTCACCATTCATAAACCTGTCCTCCAGCTATGCCATGCCTACTAATAGCCCGTTTGGTAATAGTTATGAACTTCTCGATGGATTAATCCATTGGTGACGTCAGCACCCTCACGAGGCAGCCACCCCAACTGCACTGCCAGGTAGGGACCCAGCCCTCAGCAGACTGGTCTTTTGGGGGGTATTTTCTGTCCAACTATAACAATTTCTTTAATCATTTGTGCAAAGTCATTTTCCCACATGGGAAAATGTTTACATGTGCTTTAGACTTAGCTGCAAAGAGTGAAATTGGGCTCTCGAGAGGAAATCCGAACTACTGTGCTCACTACAGTATTCCAGGCCACAGCCAAGACGTGGAAGCAGACTAACTGCACAAACGGAACGCGGAGATGGACGGTGGCTTATGCACACGGTGGGATATAAGGCAGCATCACAAAAGAAGGTTGACCTACTGTAGGGCGGGTGCCACGCTCAAGAGTAGCTGGAAACATAAACTAGACTTGACGTGAAAGAAAGAGAAGAGGAGGAGGAGGAAGTGGGGGGAGGAAACAGGGGGAGGGAGACAATGCCTAAAGTTTGGTGGGTAAGGAGGTGAGAGTAAAGAGGGTAGATGTGGGAAGAGTTAAGGGTAAGTGCAAATAGAACGAAAATATAAAAATCTCAAAGAATTTCTATTTTTTTAAGTTATCACCCCCAAAATTATAAGAATGTGTGGTGATAACTTATTATAGATTAATATAATTAATATATTATAATCTTATTTTAATATTTTAAAAATGTACAGAAAAGCATAATACATTATATAAACATTATACTCACAGCCAAATAAAACCATCAATTAATTAAAAACAAGCTGTTTAGTGACTTTCGGTCCATTTGAAACCTTTATATTTTCTTTTTCGCGTTTACCCTCCTCTGCTGCCCCTACCCTAAGCTTCTTGTTTTCTATTTCTCCCTCAACTCATCACGAATGTTGAAAAATCAAAAACAAATTAATCTGACTTTTTTTTAAAAGACGTATTTCTTTTTATTTACCTGTATATTTCTGTCTCTATCTGTCCCCAACTGAGTGTATGTGTGTGGGGTGTGTGTGTGTGTGTGTACACCATGTGTCTGCTGTTACCTGCAAAAGTCAGAAAAGGGCATGGAGCTCTTGGAGCTGGAGTTAGAAATGAGATGCTTGGCATAGCTGCCCAGAGCTCAGGACATCTGGAAGAGTAGCAAGTTCTCTTAACTACTGAGGCATCTATCTCTCCAGTCCCTCTGCCAGAATTCCTTGAGTAGATCAGCACCATTAGTTCTCTAGAATTTTAAAACCTCTTCATGAAAAACATAATTGGGCAATCTTAGGTACAACCATCTCCTTACAAGTAAGGATAATGCTGCAGGTTCAACAGGATGAAGTCCCCACTTGATCATCTAAACATCAAAGAGTAAACACAGAATCTGGAAGCCTTGCTTTTGCTATTCCTGATGGTTTTCCAGATAAGAACCATATCTTGCTGGCCCGTGGTGGCACGTGCCTTTAATCCCAGCCCTTGGGAAGCAAAGGCAGAGGCAGGTGGATCTTAGTGAGTTCGAGGCCAACCTGGTTTACAAAGTGAGTTCCAGGACAGCCAGGACTTTTTACACAGAGAAACCATGTCTCAAAACAAACAAACAAACAAACAAACAAAAAACCCAAAACAAAACAAAAAAGAATAGAAAAAGAAAACTAAAAGAGAAAGAATAGAATCTCTGTGTTTTGCTTCACTGGCTTTCTGTCTAGTTGCTTTGTTCAGAGTGGAAGGGACTTGTGTTTCCTGTGTGGCGCTGGGATGGGCTGCTGTTACTGGCAGCTGTCAAGCTGGCCCTGCACTCCACAGTACTCTGTGTGGACTGAGATGGAGATGGTTGTCCAGTTAGGCAATCTGGACTATGACCAATACTAGGATTTTATTTTCCCTCTAATTGAAGCTTTCCCTTGAAACCACCTTGTTTCTCCTTAATTTGACTCTTTTAGGAAAACCACTGATGGACAAGGCTTTCACAGTAGCTTCCTCAGACAGCACGAGCATCCTCGTTTGGGGTGATATGGTTCACAGTGGCTTCAGGACCACAGTGTATGCTGGAGAGATGTTTATCTAAGTACTGGGGCCGGTGCTATTGAACAAAACTCTCTAGACCAGTGGTTCTCAACCTGTGGATAGCACCATCCTAAAGGGGTGGCATATCAAATATCCTGCATATCAGATATCTGCATTGCATTTCATAATAGCAGCAAAATTGCAGTTATGAATTAGCAATGAAAATAATTTTATGGTGTGGAGGGGAGGTAACCACAACATAAGAAACTATTAAAAGGTCGAATTAAGAAGTCTGAGAACCACTGCCCTAGACTCTCAATGCTCTGAGTTATCCTGGGAGACCAAACCCTTTCATCAATCATAAGCAATCTGAAATTGACTCAAAGCAAGTGCTGCGGGCAAAATTATTTGAGTATACGATGGCTTGGATCTGGAATGCTGTGATGATTAACTCAGTTGTCAACTCGATTGGATCAAGGAAGAACTCGGAAACAGGTCTCTTAGAAGTCTGTGGGGGTGTTTCCAGAAAGGATTAACTGAATGAGAAGACACTCCCCTGGAGTGGGAGGCACCACAGGAGGCCCTGCTATAAAGAGATCCCGTAGAAAAGCTGGCTGCTTTTCCTGCTTGCCTTTGCCTCTTGCTGGTGGATGCATCCACTCTGGCTGTTGTGTTGTTGCTGCTATCTTTTTTTATGCTGATATTTGAATCCAGCTTCTTTAGTCCTCCAATGTCCACTGAAGGCAAGCGGCTCTCCCAGATCTCCTAGGCCATCTGGCCTCATGGACCAAGCAGCTCTCTGGTTCACAGTCTTTCCAGTGTGAAGACAGCCATTGACCACCAGTTCCTGTTATGTATAATGGATAATGATAGTGGATTCTGTTTGTAATAATATGTCCATTCTGTTTGCTCTGTTCCTATGGAGAACTCCAAGTAATACAGATGTCCCCCAAAGTCTGAGGTCTTGAGGCTGGTGGTATTGTTGAGGAGTGGCTGAATAATTAAGGAACTGACCACATCAAGGACCAATCTATTGATGTTCTGCAGCTGAATGTGCCAGCTGGACCAGGTGGGTTGGGATGATGCCCTTGAAGAGTTTACCTCACCCCATCCACCTGCTGCAATGAGGTCAGGAGCTCTTCCTCGCCCTCCCCTTCCCTCCATGATGCTCTGTATTAATCACATTTCCTGTCACTGCGACCCAATAACAGAGGAGGACCAGTTTGAGAGAGGAAGGTATTGTTTTGATTTGGGGGTATAGTCTGTCACCATCAGAAAGGCATGGCAGTGGGAGTGGCTTGCAGGCGTGGCAGCAGGCACTTGAGGCTGCTGGCTCACATCTCAGCGGACCAGGAAATAGAAAGGAGGGAATAATGGAGCCCAGAAGGTTTTCTTTTTTTCCCATTTTTATTCAGTTCAAGTCCCCAGATCATGGGGACTGTAGGTCTGCTCTACATTCAGGAAGGTCTTGCCCTCTTAGTTAGTCCAGCCAAGTCAATGATCAGAGTCAGCCCTCCGCGTTCTGCCTCACTGCAGTCCGTAGACAATGGGACCAGATGACCACAGGACTGAAGCCTCCAACTCTGAGCCCAGAGGAAAGTGTTCTTTTTTGAAGTTGATTTTCATGGATGCTCTTTGTATTTTGGTAGCACCTACAACTAATGAACAGTTAGTTATTCATGTATAGATTCGCTTCACCTATGAGTTGATACCTTTATCCTGTTCATAATTATAGGATGGGGCCAGAGACTTCATGAGATACTGGGGAAGGAGAGTCTGAGGCTGACCAGGGTGCAGACTTGTGCCCTGTTCTTGTCCATCTGACTGTTCTGTTATCTTGAGCTGCATCTTGTTTTTCCCTTTAAAAAATAATCACACTCTTGTGTTTTGGAACACATTATTATTATTATTGCATTGGAAAACACGGCAGAGATTCATTCATGCTCTAATTTAACAGAACCTGAAGCCTTAGAGATACCCAGCCTGTGAAATTTCTAGCTATATAGAACATATAACATATGCCGTTACAGGAGCATGGCCCTTTTCTTCCTGATAATGATGAAAATGGCCATGCAAGCCAAGATTCCAGACACTGGCAAGGTGCCATGTGTGTCTCTGCACACCACCAGCAGATGCCTGTCATCCTTATCTCTCTGTACAGATGAGGAAATAGGGCTGCAGGCAGGCTGTTTGGGATCTCCCGGCTAGGGAGCGGTGCACACGGAGAGAGGTCTGAGCCCTTCACTTCCTGGGGTGGACCTATTAGGGCATCTATTGTACAGCAGGGAGGAAAGAGAGGAGGAGGTGCGCGGAGTCTGTCAGCATGGCTCTCTATTCATAAAAAGCTGCTTCATGCAAAGTTGTGACTTCGGAAGTCTGGATGCAGTCTGCCCCTGGCTGACTGGGAACAAGGAGTTAAGTTGATGCTGCCTCTGCCTGCATGGGTCCTGCCAGCAGCTGTTCATCACGAGCAAGGCCCTTTCATCCTGACAGCTTTCCTTCCACTCAGGGGGAGCTGCCCTGGGAGGACTTGACACGGGGAAACAGGAAAGACGAAAGGCGGAGAGAGAGAGAGAGGAAGGGGTCTTGTTTATTTCCTGGGTGGATCACCCCCTTCTTGGCAGGCCTCCAAGAAATGAGTCTTCCTGTCCTAAAACATCAAGGAAATAAATCTCTCTTCTAGAGAACAGATCCGGGAGAGGCCCCAGGGCAACGGCGTGACATCTGTCAGGTCCAGCAGCTTGGCTGCCAGAGTAGCCAATGTGTGGCCTGGGTGGCTATAGCTCTTGGCCAGAGCCAAAAGTGTGTGTGTGTGTGTATGTGTGTGTGTGTGTGTGTGTGTGTGTGTGTTGGAAAACAAGAGTGATGTCATAGAGGTCTACAGCCAGATGGACTTGTGGCCAGAGGGATCTAGGTATCCTGAGGTTGGTCCACAGCAGAAGGGAACCTGAGAAGGAAAGAGTGAGTAACTGATAGTGGGCCTCCTTGCAGATATCACCCAGGCAGGGCTGTCCTGTGTGAACTGGAGAGGTCTCTGAGGTATGACGAAGGCAAACTGTGACAAAGAGTTGCGCACTGGAAACAGAAGAGTAGAAGAATCTGCAGTTGTTACCCAGACGCAGAGAAAGCCAGATGAGAATGCTTCACTGATAAAAGGGTCTCTCTGTGTAATCCTGGCTTGAGAGTCTCCTCTTCCCCTATGGTCCATTGGCCACTGGGCCACAGGGACAAAGAGGGCAGAAGTGGCAAGCAGGACCCTTTCCAGTCTGAAAAAAACCTTCAGCACCTAAATGTCAGCATGAACCTAGAATCAATGAATCTGTCCACAGAACACATTTGTATTAAAGACAGGACACGGGTGACAAGACTCTCTGGCTGAAAACCAGACTGCAGCTTGGATCAGAAGCATGTCCCCACATCTCTCCACTCCACTCAAGACACCAAGATGCTCTGGACCCTGACTGGACCTCTGATAAGACTCCTTCCTCCTGCTCTCACTGGTTAAAGGCTCCTCTTTCGTAACTTCATCTTTCCTTCAGGATCCAGAACAAACACCACCCTGCCATGACTAGCCCTGAATGGAAATCAAGTCCTCCCTCCCCAGTTCCAACACAAGGCAGGTCCTATCTTCCTTCCACACAGCCTCTTCTTCCATGAAGCACAGTGCTGAGGAGCTGCTCCCTCTGTGGGCATCACCTAATTTCTCTCGTGGACACATATGCTGAAATAAAATTTATTTAGTGATTAAGGCAGCTGCAGCCAAGCCCCAAGTCCTGAATTCAGTCCCTGGAACTGAATTTAGAGAAGTCAGGAGTGGTGAGAAGTTAGGGCCTGTTAGCAGACGGGGTCCTCCAACAAAGCTCTCACAGACAGCAAGCCTCTCCCGGAGATAATGTGAGCGCAGAGAAGATGAGGAAATCCTAAAGGCTTGTCCAGACAGAAGATGCCCATCACCTCACAGGTTAGGGGATGACCTCAGCTTGGATGTCTAACTGCAAGGGGAGAATGATCCTTATTTTTTTCTGCGGCCAATTAGGGTGAGAAAGAGGGAGGGGAGGAAGGGAAAGCAAAGAGGAAGGCCAGGTGTATTAACAAGGCAGTTGGGAAAACAAGCCCAGCAAGGTTTGGAGAGTTGCCCATGCCAGGTCCTTGATCCAAGGCAGTCTGCAATCTTCAATCCACAGAGCTGGTAGACGAAGGGGGAGTGAGGGAAGGGGCAGTTTCAGAGATGCAGCAAAACAAACTCCGTGACACCTCAGGATGGAAGGGTTAGACCTGGATGAACTCCGGCTTTATTTGCTTCCAGGGTTGCTAGAGCATCTCTTCCTGCTCCAAGCGCCTGTTCTGTGATTGAGAACCAGGTGAGGAAACAATGTGGAAGAGGAAGAAGTCAGGAGACTGGACTCCAGTGCAGGCGGGTTTCTTTCAGAGAACCTGAGAAGAGCTCACACCGAGTGAGCATGCATCTCAGACAGACTAGGAACCTTTCCCAAGCTAGGAGGAGGAGAGAGGAATAGGGCTGTGTGCTCAAGCAAGTGACTAGTTCTTCTTTGCAGACAGGGTTGGCCTTTTGTGTTTAGGTTGTCTCAAGAGTCGGCATGGGGTGCAGAGCACAGCTATGATCAGGGTGCTTTGCACACATGGTCTTGGGACCAGTCATTGGAGGTTAAGGAAGCTGGACAGTCATCACAGTCATCTCTGCAAGAGCAATTAAGAGTTGTTAGACACCGAGTCATCTCTCCAGCCCACCTTCCCGACCCCCAGTACGCTCATTTTTCTAAAGGCAGGGTCTCATCACATAGTAGTTCTAGCTGTCTTGGAACTCCTGAGGGCTGGGATTAAAGACAGGTGCAACCACCCCAGTTTAAATGCTTCTCCTCTTTGACCGACAAGCATTTACTCTGACCCAGGAGAACATGTGGAGATGAGGGCTAAGATTGAGTGTGAATATGGGTGCCATGGCTTATGTATCGAGGGCAGAGACAACTTTCTGGAGTTGGTGTCTTCTTCCACCAGGGACCTGACTGCCTAAGTCAGTTGATCAGGCTTGCCTGGTAGTCACTGTAAATCCACTGAGTCATCTTGCGGGACCAAAATTACCCAATGTTAATAAGGGGTAAAAGTTGGACCAGACATAGTCACTATATGACTCTCTGCTTTTGTATGTATTTATAATTTTTCCATAATTTAAAGTAAACAGAATTAATGTACATACTGGGGACTTCTGAAAGTGTCCAGCCCTCCCACCATGTTGAACTTCAGACATGTATTTTCTTTTCCTTTTGGCTTTACCTTGTTTTACTCTTTGTGAATTTCACGTTATGTACTTCAGCCCCAATCTTCTCCCCTTTGCCTCCACATCCACCATCCACCCTTGCAACCTCCCCAATAAAAGAAAAAAAAATCTAAAATAAAAAAACAGAAGAGTGGAGTCATGCGGGTAGGGTGCGGGGGAGTGAGATGCAGTGGCCGGCAGGGGTGGTTTCCTGTGGCCCTGGTGGGTTCGATCCATTCTCCTGTGTTCTGACTTCCGCCTGTGAAATTTAACCAGTTTGAACAAAGCAATCTACTAGTGCAGCCCTAGTCATTTATTGTGTTCTTGTCTGCCACAGTGGCAAGTACTGGATGGAGCCTGGGGATGTCCCAGTGACAGAGAGAAGTGACTGGACTTGCTCGGACTTGAAACAAATATTTCCCTTGAACCAGAAGCTAAGAAGTGACTCCTGAAACTGTGTGTGTGCCTCTGTTGGGACAGGTAGAGGAAGGTCTCTATTAGACACCATGGCTCAGATGGTCACCGTCTTATTCCTTCCTACATCAGTGAGAGGAGTCCATTGCTTAACCACCCTGGTGTCAGCTTGGAAAGTAGCATACTTTATAATGAGCAATTCCTCAATCTAGGGTTGGTCATG